GCTAACCAGCAGGTTCAGCAGGTTAGAAAGCCGTACAGTATGGTTAACAGCAAATCTTTGTTTTATCCATCCTGACAGGTTTTGCTGTATCATACAGATATTTATTTTTCTAAGGTAATATTATAAATCACTGTCAGGTCATCAGCCTTCCCACAGATTTCCAAAGCATTTCTTTACCTGCCAAAGTTCCACAGACCCAGGTTGCTGTATAAGCTGCTCCCAAAACAGGGCACACAGCTCTGTACTGCGCTCTGCCAAAGCACCCTCACTCAGGAAGAGGTTGTAAGAAAGGAGCTGGCCCCAAAAGTTACGGCTTAAGGACACCATGAGACTTTTATTAAGACCACCTCCAGCAATAGTTTGTATTAATCATAACAAAATAAGCCAACATTTTACTTAAACAAAAGCTTTTTTTCCATTCATTATTCACTTAGGAAAAACTAATCAATTAATTTCGCTAGAAAGAGAATAAGTTAATGTACTACACGTGGTACATTGTCTTCAATCTGAATGATTCGTGCACATCTACAAATTAAAAACAGCTTAATCCTCCTAGTTAAACAAGACCCACTGGTTCAATTTTATATATAGTGGAATCATGATTAAGGCCAAATCACAAATTCTGTCAGGACCCTGGATTAAGGTGAGAGATCATCAGGGGCTTTCATAGGACATCTTCCAGCTGAGAACAACCAGAGTGTGACATGTGCTTGCCATGCCTCCTTCTCTGCCTTATGCAGCCCATTACCATAGAATCATAGAATCACAAGGTAGGAAAAGACCTGCAAGACCATCTAGTCCAACCATCCTTCCATTACCATTGCTACCACCAATCATATCCTGTAGCTCCTCATTCAGACACCTCTTGAACACTGCCAGGGACAGCAACTCCACCACCTTCCTGGGCAGCCGTTCCAGTGCTTGACCACTCTCTGAGAGAAAAAGTTCTTCCTTATGTCTAATCTAAACCTGCTCCGGTGCAACTTGCAGCCATTTCCTCGAGTCCTGCTTGTTGCCTGGGAGAAGAGGCCAAACCTCTCATCACCACAACCTTCCCTTTCCTCCCCTCCCCTTTTCTGTGAATGAATCTCAAAAAAAATTAAAGATGAAATAGAATTAAGTTCAGTCATTATTCTGCGAGAATCATATTCACTTCTAGAAGTTGAAATTACTGACTTTACCAGCTAGCAATATGATTGAAGTCCTGATAATAGGAAATGGTATCACGAATGCCAGGGTTACCAGTGTCACACAAAGTTTCTTACAGTAATGTTGCAATGCTCCTGTGCTGCCCTGCTTTGCTATAGGTTACATGATCAAAACTAGGTCCATGCTAAATGATTTGAAGTAAAACAGGCCCTTTATTTTCAGACCATCTCAAGGGCTTTTGGAAGTGGGAGGAAACCAAGTGCCAGCAAATGGATCTAGGAGGGCCTGACCTAAGGATAAGGTTAAGTGGTGTAATAATCTCCATGCTGAAGTTGGTGCTGTATAGCAGCTTCCCTGACGTGCTTGGTCACAAGGTGAACCACTGTGAGCCCACCTCACAGATTTTCCGCCCAAATCACTTAAAGCTTGAGGCTCTGTCAAACACAGGAACTCCCACCTAAAACACTTTCCTTTCTACTTACTAAGGACTACTTTCTTTCAGGCTGTACTCACTGATAACCTTATCATATTTCTGTTTACTTCACTGTTCTCTATTTAGTGCTGTGATATTTGCTTCCAAAGACTACTTTTCAGATACAAAAGTTTAATGCAGAGCGCTAAAGCTGGCATATGCATACCACGGAAGCCCAATCTAAGCATTAACTTTTGTTCTATACAAATTTTCTAAATGCAAAACATTTCTTAGATTACAGAGTTTCTTCTCTGAGAATCAAAAAGTTAATGCATGAGTTTCCTTTTGTTTGTCATCGTTGTTACAGAGGAAAACGATCAGTCTAACAAAAAGTTTCTTTTCAGATATTGTTGGATGGGCATTTTGATCAGATTTTTTTGTTTTGTTTTGTCTGGTTGTTTTTATCTTCTTTGAAAGAAAGATAAAACTAGCTAATGACTTGCAGAGTTTCTGTTTTAACAACAAGCTTGTTGTTAAGACCAGCAAAGGCAACACTCTCCACAGACTTCATTAAGGGAAAATGTCTCAATGTCCTGCTCTCAGAGACATTACACATATCTTCCCTTTGCAGAAAAAAAATAGCTGAGCTAAATTTGGAATTTTTCTGAAGTTAGAAGGAGACTCTAAGTTAAGAGAAGGATCCATGAAGAATTATTCCCTGATGGCTTGGGAAGGATTTGTTTCTGACATGTTCCAGCTCAACCCAACCGCACTCTTGAGGTACAACTGTGTTAGAGAAGATTTTTTTTTTTTTTGCTTTGGAAGGATTACTCACCAGCTTACTCAAACTGAAACACGATGGTATTTCAGTATGTAGAGAAGAAATAGTAATCTGATAAAAAACAGGAAACAGAGGTAGAAATGCTTAATGTGTTGAAGATAGAAAATGAAGAAAATTCTACTCATGCCTCATGCAGAGCAGTTCGCAAAGAAAGATGGCAGATATAATGTCAGTTAGGCATGCTGTACAGAGATAAATAAAAGCAGCCACATTGATGTGTGACCTGGATATACTATCTGAAATTTCAAAAGATTGGGGATATGGCACCGATAACAGGATCCGTCAAAAGACACGTAGAGCTAGAAGACCAACATTCAGTATGAAGACAAGGATGGACTTTCATCTCAGCTAGGAAAAAAAAATGGAATTTGAATAGTACATCAAAAACAAAGTGCAGAAAAATAGAAACAAACTGATGCTTCATATACAGTATTGGGGTGCAGATTCATACTGATAGGCAAGTAGGTGGCCAAGAAAAATAGGAAGTAATTAAAAAACAGAATAGACATAATCCATCTAGGAGAGTTACTAATCCCTAAATATGACTGCTGCAAACAGTCCACCATACTCACAGCAAATGGACACAGATATTCTGCGCTGACTTGCCTATAATCTGTACAGATAAGAACAGAAGAACAATCAGAAGTTTAATCCACATTTACAAAAACTCTCCCTTTAAAATTTAAAAAGTGCTTATATGCATGACAGAAATAAGGGTGAGGACTCAGAAGTGGGGGCAAGTTGTTTACAATATAGGCAATGAAGATAATATGTTCTGTTTGCATTCAGAAGACATCTGAATAACCTATCATCTCAGCCAATTGTTCCAGAAAACTTATTCTTCTTTCCTAAATAAGTAATGTTTGATTGCTCTCTCAAACAAACAGCTGAGCTATGATCCCACAGCAACAAGGGATTTGTCTGTTCATGCTCTCCAGTAAGCCTAGCCTTTTCACTTAATCTAGACCATACCCCAAGTTGTTGAGACTCATTCTTTCAGCTCTGGCCTCTTGAGTTGGCCAAGGGAATCACTACAATAATGAACTTTGAGAATTTTGTCAAGCAATCTTCTATTTAAGCCTCAAGAGGTAAACATAGCCTCAGTTTGGTTGATTTCTTTGGACTGATGAGGAACACTATGGTGCAGAGAAATCACACATATCCCAGTCCAAAGGATGGTAAAAATTAAGGTGCTAATATATGATTGTGAGGCCTTCAGATCAACACAGAAGTTGGAGAGGAAAATATTTACTATGCTAAAAGTGCTAGGAGAAGCTCAAAACTCTAACCCATTGTCAGTGATCGTTCCCTTAAGCACACTTCCTGATCAATACTTGAGAAGCCTTAACTTTGCTCTCCAAAGTAGCCAAAAAAACACTGCTTTTATCTCAACTTATATGTCAGAGCTATATAAAAATGCAATATCCTTTTTGTTTAAATAGTTTTTAACATTTTTTCTATTTACATAAGCACATAAATGTATTAAACCAAAGATTCTTGGAGATAAAATAACACTTTAGAAAACCACAAAGTAAAAAAAATAATAAAAGCAATCATTAATCTGACTTAAAAAATGAAGGTGATGAAAATAAATTAAATTAAATTGCCCTATTCCTACATCTAAGAACCTTGATTATAAGCTCTACCATATTATATAACCAAAGCAGAAATTTGAAAAAAGTGAAAGAAAAAAAACACCAAGACAGTATTAATAAAATAATGAGAAGTGTCGCAGAAAGGTTAATGTAATATTGGTAATGATTAATGGTGTAACAGATAACTCTATGTATCTTTACAGAGTGAAAATATCCAATCTACCTCAGCTTTAATAATCATATTCCCAGTGAGTGCAGATGAGAAACTTAAAATGTACGTATAAGACTGGAAATGGTTATAAAAAGATCAGAGGCTTTCAAAATTCACTGTGTACTGGGTCTAGTGAATGTAATGCCAAGAGTAATATATGAAATCTGATCTGACAGTTTCACAATTTTCCTTTGTTTGAGGAGATCCCCATGCAATGAAAACCTACGACATCATGCCAAAACTGAAAGAAACAGTGGAAAGGATTCAGTGGTAACTACCACTAGTCCATTTCTCGCTGGCAAAATATAAAAAGAAGATGAAGAATTAATTACATTAGGAAATCCAAGGGAACGTGGTTTAGATTAAAGGACTTTTTTTTTAAGCAGTCAGCTGGAAGGCTGATATAGTACTGCTCATGCAGATGTTTGGAAAGTATTTCACAAACTCTAATCTTGGAGAGTGTCTAAAGGCTTTTGCTCTTCCACTGCTCCATGCCATCTCCAATTTATCTTCTGTACAAACTAGAAACTACAGCTTCTAGTTAAATAAGACGGGTAATTAAAAACAAGCAAAAAAACCCGACACAGTAGAATATAAGATATTACAGTCCATATTCTGTAGGTCCAGTATCTATAATAGATTGGCAGATCCGTTTTTATCAATAAGCAACAAAAAAAGAGTAATAGCTATCTGTCAAAACTAGGTTTAATTCACTCCGTTGGTTCATATTGGCACAGAACAGTATACTGCTATACTGAAACCAAGGAGTTCAGATCTGTTTGTGTGGCTTACCTTGAACAATCCAGCTCTATATTGCTCTCTGGGTAGTCATGGTCATCTGCCTACAGAGGCAACAGCTATGTCTGATCTTGGTTTCTCAGCCCATCTCCATTGGCAGTTTCTGATATATTGATAGTTCCACAGCATTCTATAAACATCAGACACACAAACAGGTTACTTAAGAAGTGAAGAAGAGTATGGCAGAATGTCTGACCTACATTTAACAATCCTAAGTGGCATTAAGATCTTTAAAACCAAGGTATGCAAGGTAGAGCAGTTCTATGTCTGCTCCTCATCTGGTTACATGCACCACAGTATCTATCCTCAAATATGCACTGTTCTCAAAGCAGAAGAAATGAGAATGAAAAGGGCTGTGATGCTGACCACTCCACAATGTAACAATATTAATTCAGTACCGCACAAGTCAGAGGAAATTCCAGTGTCCTTGGAGCTGACCCAGTCTGCTAGCCATTCTTTATGCCCCAATGACTTGAAGTGATAGATGAGGAAGAATCATCTTGCAGTGTTAATAACTGTGCACTCACAGAGATGTGAAGGAGCTCAGCGTTTGTCTTGAAGGGCAGGGAGGCCATCCCTAGAGCCTTTGCCAGAGACACCAGATGTGCAGGGAGGAAGCAGAGGTACTAACAGTGTGGAATCAGCAGTGTTGAGTGATGGGTAGGAAGGTGAAAGAGGAAGCAAGCAGAAGGGATGGGATGAAGAGAAAGTCTTGCCAACAAGTTCTGGTACAAAAACATTGAGAATCTCTGAGCTTGTGTTTGGGTCAAGTTCTGGGCCAATGCTCTTGGGTTCTGTTAATTCATTTTGTAACTGCTTACAAAAATTTCTGTCTTGTTATGAGGAGCTCTGAGCGGTCTTCAGCTTGAAGGATGAGGGCTTCCACTGTCATGTCCTTAATCCACAATATTTCTCTACCACCAGAGATGCTGTGTGTGTCTGAAATATATAGAGAATTATTGATGAAAGACGTAATACAAAACTGAGCTTTTTTTTTTTATCACAAAAACATACAACTAGCACTCAAGAGCATTTCCACTGCTGGGAATCTAAATTAGATATAAAGCCTTTTGATTCACTCTTTAAAATCAATTTCTGCCTTCAAAAGAAAGAAGATTAGATGGAGGGAAAGGTAAAGAAAATGGATACTCTTTTGCCAATCCACAATTCATTCAGAATTAAGATTTTCACTTTCCAACCTCCTCATAAGTGTACATTTTTCTGCTCATGCTAGCTCTTTCATTAATTATTTCTCTGAACTCTTGCTTTTTAGCCACATTCCACACAGTCTGGTCCTGCAATTCCAGTCACAGCCTTTGGGTTTCTTATTTCCCTTCTTCCCTAAAGCAGAATTAAACCCTGCTGGTTGGAGCCAGCTCAGCCTCGAAGCTGGGAGGCAGCTCAGACTGTGCATGTTCTCTGTACCATGCTTTGCTGCAGCGACAAGAGCACTCTCTCACTCTTGGGGCCCTTTCCAGAGGACTGCTCTTCCTTCTGTCTCTACACACAAGCTATCAGGTCTCGCAAAGAGAAATGCTTCATGCTGCTTTTCCCCTCCCTGCTGACTAGATGCATTTTTGCATATCAGTTCTAAGCATCTCTTAAAGTCTGTCTCTGAGTGGCTAGAAGAAGTGTTATCTAATGGTAATATCCAGCCAGACAGATTCTCCTTTGCTATCCACTTCATTGTTGCAAGTATGATTATGAAGGATGACTCCTGTGTTAATGAAAGAGAATGGAATTTCCATTGACTTTAGCAGGGTCAAAACTTCACCCTGAAGGACCTATCACTAGGAATGGGACAGAATTTCCATTTTCACAAAGAATTTGCAACCCTTTAATTATGCTGTAAAACCTCAAATATTTTCTTCGCAGGGCAAAGTTCGTATCTTATTTCAGATGAATGTAGTGGCTGAGCATCATCAGCTGCCAGAAAACCTTTAGAAGTTACTTAAAATAAGAACAGGCATAAAAGAGAAGCAGGGTGGGAAAGGGTTGTTTGCTATTAAACATGAACACAAACCAAGCTGGGCCTTTTGTCTATTCCCTTCCCCCATTTCGTTCACACAGTCCTTATCACCCTTCAGACAGCCTCGGAATGCTAATTTTTCTAATCACTTGGGGACTGAAAACTGCAGAAACTGTAGAAATTAACCAAAATATTATTTTAAACTTTGTTTAATGAGCCTGGATTCACACCTGAAAATAAGCTCCCAATCCTTCCATTCTTCCAATAATGGCATTTCCACACGTTCTGAAAAACTAAAATTCAAAGCAAAAATTTGAAAACATTTCCAAAGGTCTGTTTCAATCAGAACTAGCAGGTAGTTTTTACAAAGAAGTGGTTTTAAATGAAAGCCTAATTGTTCTCTTTTTGCAAATGTTTAGAACTTCCTTTCATATAGAAGCAGATGATAAGGATGTTCAGAATGGTTCGGTGAAATGATACTGTAATGATAAAATTCAGATCAGCTTTAAACTTTATTGTATTTTCCACCTCTTTCTAAGCTTTAAGGATTTCAATTATTCTGTCTCTCTCAGCGATGAAGTCTATATGCATGTATCCCTCATTTAACACTAATGACAACGTAAAAACCTTTACACATCAAATATGTGACTATATGCTTTTGTCTATCCTAATGGTTTGAGAGAAAATCTTGATAAATCAAGGCTTTCTTTTTCGTTTCCTCTTTCTTAAGTTTTGTTGCCTCGATTAGATAAAAAAATAGGGGCCTGTCAATCTGTTTTCTTTTCAAGTCTCCTCTGTCTCTTTCTAAATTAGTTACAGCCTGCTTTTTGTAGCTCTATAGCCAGCCTGACCTAATTTAATTACCATGACTTGTGTGGCTTAAAGATAAATAGTTTTATTCAGTCAGTCTACTTTTGTATAAGTTTTCCTTTTCATGCATCTCCTTATGTTTTGGCATTCAGAATTCTTGCTCTCAGTTCCTCAGTGGGTTAACACAAGGTTAGTTTTATAGCGTTGTCCATATTCTCACAAAAAGAACCGTTTGATGTTGTTCTGCTCAGCTCCTGCTTTGCTCTGTCCAGTTGCACGCTGTGAGTGATCAGGCCTTTGTGGGGAACAGGCAACCAACCTAAGGAGCATTTCCACAATGCCACTGGCAGCCAGTGACACTGGCTCAGTCTGAGGAGCTAGGGATGGAAGACACTCTGTCATTTCTGTTGTGAGCTGCAAATCCTCAAAGCAGAGGTTGCTCATACACAAGCTACTGTCTGCGTACTTTTTTCCTTCTTTGAGGAAATTACTTCATGAATCTAAGTACGAGACACTGCTGAGAGAGGAAGGCTGGAAGATGTGGGACAGTGAAGATAGTGGCTACCGCACCGCTCCTGTGCAAACATGTGACAAATCCCCTGCTCAACACATATAATTATGTTCATTCCAGGCTTTAAGGACAAAGAGAAAAAAGTTCCTAGGGTTACAATCAGGCTGTCATCAATAATAGTGATCTTAATAATGAAATATTTTTAAAGCCAACTGAATCTACCTTCAGGTATTCTGTTCTATCGAGCCCTTGCAATAACTTAATTTAGAATGATAGGATGGGGTGATATGTGGATATGTGATGCGCTTGAGAACAAGAAACCACCAACAAATCATCATCACAAACTTCAGAAGTCAGAACTGGGCTCCCAGTTGGCAGGGCTTTACAGAGGTGCTACAGCTGCACTTTGCTTGCACTACAAAACTGTCCTATAACAAGCTTCATCAGAATAAGCACAGAACATTTGACTGCAAATGTATTTAAATAAAAACGTGTGTGTGTGTAACTATACAGAAATGTGTGAAAAATCTCACCACTCTTTTAAAAACACTGTTCAGTAGAATAGTACCGGCAAAAGGAAGACAAATAAAAGTATTTAAATGATATTTCAATTTTCAGTCATTTCAAGTCAATTGCACAGATAGATGAGAAGATGTTAAGTTTTTCAGATAAACCAAAAGGGACCATCAGGCCAAGTTCTAGTGGAACTACGTAAACAGCACCCTTAAATAAACAGAGCATGTCTTTGTACTTGTGCCAGAATCCAACCCACCATAGATACAAAGTAGAAACAGCAATTCCATGTGTTAGCACCCACAGAAAGGAAAGAATCCATTGACACTTCCATGCTTGGAAAACAGAGGTGAATCATTTCTTTCCAGCCATGATCAACAAGAAAACACTGCAGAAGCAATAAAGAGGAAAACAAAAAGATGCACTTGTTTCCTGTTAACTAAAACAGCCCGACAGTGCAGTGATGCATTTGTCATAAACATCCACTGGTGTCCTGCTTCAATTCCTCTTAAAACCCGTGACAGACTGACTTCTATAAGCAGTAACTTTGATTATCAGTCATTTCTGTTGATAAAAACTCAATGTATACCTTACCTTTATCCAGTTCTTCACAAACAGCACCAAAATAATTAAAAGGCAGCCACCTCTAAAGTGCAACTGGGTCAGGTCACTGGGGCCCCTACAGCTGTATTAAAAAAAAAAAAAAAGCCTGCTGAGAAGATAAGGTTTTTAAAGGCTCCACAGAGGGATACAGACATACAGACATACCGACAAAGACACAAGGGAAAGGGAAACTTTATGGCACACTATTAATCTTTCTTAGAAAGATGAAGTGTTGCTGTGACCTTGATGACATCTGAAGCTGTCATTTGGAAGGAGGGAAAAAATGGAGACCAGAACACTTCAAATAGAGCATTGTCATCACCAAAGTACACCTACCATTGAGACTCCCTTTAAGCGCAAAGAAAATACTTATTTCGTAGGACATAGCTTGCCTGAATAATCTGCTTACCGTGGCCCACTTTCACAACCTCTCATATGACATTCTCAACCAAACAGATGTCTTTCCCTTACGGTAGAAATCAGTTTTCCTGGCCTTTTGCTGAACTAGCAGAGAGTTGCTGGTACATGTCAACCAAAGACACAACCAAGCATCATTTCTACTGCTGAAGAAAAATAACAACAAGTATGTCTGTGGTTGTATCTAGACACTGATGAATAAGTTGTCTGCTAACTGAGTAGCCTTCTTAAGCACTTGTTCCCCACTTAAATCAAGGATCAAACAAGAAGCTTCACTTCTTTTACAGCAGGCTTAAAATTGCTGTAGCCATACAATAACAACTACTGATTGGACACAAAGGTGTTCTGGGGTGTTGGTATGCTTTTCAAGAGTATCTAAAAGCATAAAGACGGAGACTGTAGTAATTGTGCTGGCTTATTTAGCTGAAGGGCAATTGTATTCCTGTATCTGTAATAATCTGTATCTGATACAGATTATAGCTGTGTTTTTGTGTGCATCAGTAAAGATATTGTATTATCAGGTACAGAATCACAGTATGAATCTGCACAATACAAGTAAATTCCATAAGCTAGTAGCTTAGTTCATTGATCCTTGTGGGACAAAGTCAGACAATACATCTTTGGCCAATAGGTCTGTGACATTGGTGCTTAGTCTGAATTGAATTAATAATGATCATAACCTCTAAAAACTAAACACTAAAATACGAAAAAAAAACCAAACCCTTGACTGCAGATTATTTTAAACTGTGCCATAAACAGATACAATATATAACAAATTTTTCTACTATGAAAATGCTCTCAAAGCTGTCCACAGATAAAAAAGCTTTGCACAGAGATATATCCTCTATACCCAAGAAGTTCATATGAAGAATGCTGACAAATTATTCAACTACTCTCCTGGACACTTTAAAATACATAAAGGAAGCAACCAATAAATACAAATGCTACTTTAAAAAAAAAAAAAAAAAAAAAAAAAGGATTGTGATGTTTCTTCCTCTTTCCAAATAAAGAAAGACTTAACAGGAAAATATGAGTGATAATCTCAGAAATATATATATATATATATATATATATATGATTCAGCTTCTGTACATTTCTACAGCCATTGTACTTATAATCTCACATATAACTTTCAGATGAATGTCATTGTCATTGTACAGAATATTTCTATATAAAATATACAAAGTTTCACCTATGAACAACAAACACATTCTGTAGTGACTTCAGAAAAACTCAAGGTTCACTGTAGTTTTTAATACAAACGTAGATACATAATTTAGAAGTGTTATTCCATGCTTTATCTTGATGCTGCCAGAAGAGCCTCCAGCCCTTCTTTAAAAAGGCATCTACCAGAGTTTAAAAAGAAAATTTAGGCCATTGGTGAAGGAAATTGCCACCATTAATTCTGACCTACCACAAATTAAAAAAAAAAAAAAAAAAAAAAAAAAAAAAAAGGAAAGGACACACTGTGAAAATTAAAAGAGAAAACTAACAAATGTTTTATGAATACACGTGCAATATTTAGGTTCAATGAAACAAAATGCTGATATGTGCCAGATACCCTAGAGTTGTTCTCCTACGACTAATTCTTCTGAGCTAGTTTTAAATTAATCTCCCAGTGCTTGACCTCTTCCTACCCTTGTTATTAAACTAATAAAAGCAGCTTATACCAGCCACAATATAAGCAAAGCAGTAAAATAAAAATTTCTTCAAGCATCACTTGGCCTTGCTGGACAACTTCACCAAAAATCACATAAATGTTCTATTAAATAAAATTCCATACAAAGAATTTTATTTTCGTATATAGAATCATGGAATCATAGAATTTCTCAAGTTGAAAAAGACCAAAAGAATGAGGTTGTGGGTGCCCCCTTCCTGGAAGCACTCAAGGCCAGGTTGGATGGAACTGTGAGTAACTCAGGCTAGAGAAAGGTGTCCCTGCTTACAGCAGGGGGTTAGAACTACATGATCTTTAAGGTCCTTTCCAACCCAAACCATCCTATGCTCATCGTGTCCAACCACGACCTAACCATACTACCTAACTCTAACAACCCTCAACTACGTCATGTCCCTTATCACCACATCCAAACGTTTTTAAACACATCCAGGGATGGTGATTCAACCACCTCCCTGGGCAGCCTATTCCAGTGCTAAACAACCCTTTCTGTAAAGAAGTTTTTCCTGATATCCAACCCAAATTTACCCTGGCACAACGTAAGGCCATAAAATACACTTAAGGCCATATAAAACACCTTCCAAATGTGATACTCAAATGCCTTCTTTGGGTCACTGTTTCTCTGTTTAAAGGGAATAACCCAAAGAAACTCGTATGAACCTAACCATATCCCAGGGTGCCTGGCACTGCCAGCTGAGCAAGGGAAGAGATTGTCCCACCCTGCTCTGCACTCGTGTGGCCTCACCTCGAGCACTGGTTGCAGGTTTGGGTGCCATAATATAAGAAGGGCAAGAAGCCATTAGAGAGCATCCAAAGGAGGGCTATGACAAGCAAGTACACAAAAAACAGAACAGGAAAGATGTGTGGGAGGTAGAAATTTGTGCTGAAGGGATGGAAAGAGAGCAGCTAGCTCACTCAAGGGACTCTTATGACAAAGGCAAGGCATTCTTGGCATCCATGACCAATCACTTCTATTCTTCATTCTAGTTACAAATAAAGCTGCTTTATCTGTGGAAAGTATTTAGATTTAAAATGTTTTGCAACAGGCTATCTCTGCCAGTATGAGTGTAGTGGTCAACAATCTCATTTGGTGTTGCTAGATGTTTTCATTTTACCAGCAGTAATATAAGAGCAAGCGCAGCTGAATTTTGGAAATTCCTTATTTGCTTATCTGTCTTTGTTACATCCTATACAAAAATAATCCCAGTAAGAGATATGCCATGAGAAAAAAAGCATTGACCAATTCAGATCTATACGTGGATCAAACACTGACTGTATTTGTCAGAAATCACATCTGATCATTACTCTGGCCAGATTCAAGAAAATAAAGGACAGAATGCAGCACACATACACTGCTCTGGTCACTCATAGAAACCAGCCGATATTTTAAGGTTACAACATATAAATCTTCTGAAGAGCAGACTGCAACCTTGAGGTTGTTTGTTTGGTTTTTCAACTGAAATCTGACACACATTACATGTGAACATTTGGAAGTTATATTGTTAATTATGCATTATATATAATTGCTTTAACTTTTATAGTGAACAGTCATTAAACTGACTTTCAAAATAACAGAGCACTTCACAAAACTCTTACAGACATGTGACCTAATAATGATGAATGAGCATGGTATCTAACTTTACAAATTCTGTTTAGTATAGATGCACATATTCCCTTTTTAAACCAGTCATGATGCTTGCAAATGGAAAGGATTTGTAAGGAATGGGCAGTGGTGTGATCTATGTACAGATATATACATAAACATATAAATTAGTTAGGCACTGCTTTATTTTATCCAAGATTTTCTAACAGCAGGGAGAGATCTGATTTGTGAAACAGTGGGTTCTAGCTAATTAGCCTGTGACAAAAAGAAATTTTCCTTCATTCACGCTGCTAGGTTTAAATGTGGTCTGGATCTCTGGTGATTTCAGATTCCCCTCTGACTTAACTGAAATAGTTTTTATCAGCTTAGATCCTGGCATTCCTTCAAGGTGCAGCAAATATGCCACTTGGAAGGAATTGATTCTGAATTGTGAACCCTGCTTCTATGCTATGGGGAGGAATGCTTTTGTGTTTACATTCCCCAGAAAATCCACAAAAAAGCAAACAAGCTAATTTTTTTTACACACAAGTACACTATTTCAAAGGCTCAACCAAGTACTATCTGTAGTGGTAGCAAGACTGAATAATACTGCTTTGAAAATTTACCTTGCCATAGCTGTGCAGAAAAGGTTCATTAGAAACAGTCAAGAAAAGCTCAGAGAACCTCCTAAGTCATTAAGTGTCACTTTTGATATCTGTACATTACTACATTCCCATTAGAATGTAGTACTACATCTACTGCATTAGAAAAGTTTTTCTAAGACAACATTACCCAAGGTACATAAAAACCCATGGGGTAACTTATGTGGTTGAAATGGCAAATTCACTCTATATATTAGCTCATGCTCCAATGGATGTAATTCTAAAGATTTAGAACAGTACTTTCATTATCTCACTACATCAGCAAAAGCAGCATCTCATCTTTTTCTCAGTGAGATTTTAATGGCATAAACACCAATTTTCATTTTTGCCCATAAAAAAAGTGATTCCCACATTTTTTTCCCTTTGTGGCTCTGTACTGAAAGAATTAAAAATGCTACATCTTACATTATGACAGTGGAAAGAGAATGAAGGGAGAGTAACACTGCACATCTTTCAAAAGCTGAAAAGGAAGAAAGACATGCAGGAGCTGTTAGGAGTGAATGGCAGCTTCTTTTTCCTGAGACAAGTGCTCTTAGTAATGGCTCTCAGCTTCCACTACCTTCTGATCTCAAGATGGACCCTATACCTCGCCATCCTTAATGCTTCACAGCTAGGCTAATGGGTAAGCTGCCAGGGAGTAGTGGTCATAGCTAACTTCTGAGATCAGGAATGCCTAATGGTTTCATATGGTCTTCAAAATCTTCCAAACAAGAAGGCCAACTCATTTATTACACAGACAGACATGT